CTGGAAAGGATTTACACAATCTCACCATTTTGGGGGGCAAACAATCTCCTTTTTCAAAAGATACCGTGGGGGCACTTTTAATGCTAATGAGCTGGCCAGAAACTCTCACTTGAATTAGTGGTCTGCACCCTTACATCTGCAGTCGCACAGATTGGGGAGAATCAGGATTGTCAATGCATTTGATCTGAAGTTTGAATCGTAGATTTATGCAGAGAGTTGCCATTAGATTGTCTACTGGTATTGTATGTTAAACTATTTCTGAATCTTCCATTATGATGGAGAAAAGGGCGTTACAATCGACAGTGTTCAAAAATGAATTTTTGTTGTGCAAATTGTTCCCAACCATTGAGACGTACCTCACAGTCATGGTAAATGTTATTTTGAAGCATCTGATAGCAAAATGAAGATTAAATTGATATCAGCACTTACATGCGTTTTGAGTCGAAGTTGGGAAATTATAATATTCATATATTCCACGTATCTTCCTCGAGAGCTTAGGATGAATTCACCTTTATACTGTCACACAAGTTCTAAGCTTTCTTCAGTAGGTTTCTTTTTTAATGAAAGGAAGTCCAATTGGAAACGTTTATAGTTATTGCAGTCTCGTCCTCCTTAATGTTTATAGTTCCATGAAAGCAATTGTCTTGGAGCTAAATCCATGCAGAATGTAGAGTGGGGTAACTAGTTTTGTTTAGAATGTGTATATTATTTCCTCTGTCATTCCTTGGGGAAATATTTGAAATAGAATAAATCAGCCAAGAGCGGTCATACGAGCTGAGAATGTTTGGAAGAGACAAGACACATCAAGCTACTTTTTTTTCTTTTTTAGCTTTTCCGGCCTTTACAAGAAAACCTCATTGGTGTTTTAAACCTTTGGTCCACAGTGAAGAGTTTCCAGATTTTTGTTTGTCTGTTTTCGAACCCCGTAATAAATAACAGATTTTTCGTCTCTCTGACAAGAAAAAACCAAGCCGCCCGTATAGTCTATTTCAGATACCGTACAAATTAGAATCACTTTATGTGATCCCCTAAACGAATACACCGGGCACTTGATTAGATAATGGTGCGTCAATTTGGAAGATATTAAGTATTGTTTTCTTATCAATTTACTGTTTGCTATTGCCATGATAGTGGCTCGGTATAGTCTGTGTTGCAGGGCATTCAATACAAGGTGCAGGCGCTCTGTAAAATTATTTGATGTGATCTTCTGATCTAATGGTTTTGTAGTTGAAAGTCTGTAGACTGTATTTCGACACGTAATTTTTCAGTCTTCTCATGATGTTTATTTCAGGGATTGAAAATACTACGAATGTACGTACATAATAACTACGCGACAAATTTTGTCTATATGTAAAAAAAAAAGAAACTTTTTTGATGGTTACGCATTACCTTTACGTGCGTATGTGATAGTTTTTGATAGTTTTTCCATCTTTTTTTCCTCATACCTGGATACACATTTTTTTGACACCGTAGAGTTGTCACTAAGTCTTGTCTCCATTTTCATTCAGTATAAGGTTGAAGGCAGGCACAATTGATGGGCGTTAGGCTTTTTGTCATTTCTAACAGTTGCTTAATTAAGTAGAGTTACGAGTTCTTGCATCAATCTCTGGTAAAGTACCGTCTACTCATTTATAAAAGAGCCACCGCAACTCACTAAGAGGGCCGCCGGTGTGTATAGGCCTTGTCACAGGCGGCCAAACCCTGTTCATCAGTTTTCTCGACCGCGCCGATCTTTTCGGGCGAACGCATTGTCGGATATCAAATAACCCAGTATCAAATTGTGTATGCTAATGATATTTGATTAACAATATGTTGCCATCCCGTGCCCGGTGCATGTCATCCGCTGCTCTTAACTGTCCGGTTGATCAGTACCATTGAATTATCAGTACTTCCCTCATACGGGGAGCTGGAGAGGCAGGGGGACAGTTTGAGGCACTCTCAGAAATCGGTTTATTAAGTTGTGGTTGCCGGAAGGGATGTTTTTGCTGTGTTTCTAGCTCTATGGTATGAGTCAGTGGTGGCATGAGAGCGCCAAACAAAGGTATTCTGTGTACAGAGTATTATGCACGGACACTCCATGGAAGCAACATCTTTTCTAAGGGGAAAAATTTAGTTGTGGGAGGAGCCGCTGGTAAAAAACGTTGCGACGTTTTGAGTGTTGTTTCCGGAAACTACTGGGGCGGACAGGGGGTTATTTAAGTTGGCTGGACTTATTCAAGCATAGCCTAGAGTACTACCAAGATGCTGGGATGCTGAGATGAGATGCCCGAAGTGTTCGGGCATGACGGGATGGGATGCTGGTTGGTTTTTTGGTGCATTTTGCTGGTGGCCTATTAGTAATAAATTTCCTAACTAATGTACGGTGCCCCTCATTTAAGTTCGGTCGCGGCGTTCTTGAAGGTTATCGTACCGGAAAGGTCGAGGGAATTACATGGCGAAGAGGCAAAGCGTGGATTAGGATGCCCCTCTAGAGACTTCAGCGCACAGCACTTAAGACAAAATGTCTGAGGCCGTGTCCAAATCTGAGTTTGGGTTTTTGCCCAATGCAGGTGCATGTGCGTAGTGCTATGCTGACAAAAATCCTGGGAGTGACTCTTGAATCTGTTTTTGACTTGCTCAATGCTACGTGTCTGGTTTCTTTGATTTGGTTTTTTGCTTGTTGGAGTGTGTGTTTTTAGCCATATTCCGTGGTGCCAGTAAACTTACATAACAATGTCAAATTTCATAAAAGTTTGGGGGTGATTGGTCGATCTGCGCGATCAACTTCGATCTTTGCGCGGTCTGTCAATTTTATTGCATGTTTTTACAATAATTATTTCACCATTAGCTACAGCCAATTGCCTTTTCTTTCTTATTCGCGATTGTGCAGAAGTTAAGTTAGGGATTTACTACATCTGCCAATCGCGCAGCGTGATCGGGCGATCATGCATATTAACCAATTGTGCCCAACACATAATTGTTCATGAGCTTGTGTTTTCTCTTACGCTTGTTTTTGTATTAGACGAGCCAGTTGTGTCCGGCCTGATTCAGGCCCATGTCATGTACGGGGAGATGTCATTCTATGACAAAGAGATGGACATTTGCACGCTGTATGACGATACCGAGCTGGAACCAGGCGAAGAGAGAGACACATTCTTCGACTGCCCCATGGCAGCAGGTGGGAACGGATGCTTGAATACCACCAATTTGTTTTTGATTTACACACTGCGAAATGATCCATTAATTACGGTATTGGCCAATTTGCGATCTTTCAAAGATTGCTCCCTTAAGGAACCCATGGACGTGCCCAGTGGCGTACCCAGGATTTGTCGTATGTGTGTGAGTGTGTAAACGCCTTCAATCGTGGACCGAGAACAATAGGGGACAATAGGGTCCACGGTTGCCGAAGAGTCCACGGTTGGAAAACGTGTACAAAACATATGGGAGGTCTTCTGAAAAAGTTCAAGTATGAACAAAAGAGGAACAATAGGGAGTCCACGATTGAAGGCGTTTACACATGTGTGTGTGTATGGGGGGTGCTCTAACCTTACATACAGTGTGGACTTGTGAATACGTGCGTGTGGACGTCTTTTGTTCACAAGTCACAAGTTTGTTCAGGAAGGAAAGACGTTCTGCGGACTTAATATCCACTCCACAGGACGTTTCTCCTTCTCTGAAAAAGAAGTTTAGAGACATTTTTGAGTTAGAATTATCTGTCGTAAAAGGGAAAGAAATAGTCAAGGAAATATTTTACAAAAATCCAGCTGAAAATCGTGCTCCCAGTTCAAGAAACCCGCTTTTTTAAACGTTTTTTCTTAACTGCACGAAAACAAAGGAATGTCCACACTAGGTATGTAGGCCTACGGCCGTGTCCGAATCACTTGGCTGCTGCTTGAAGAGTATGGTAGTGGCTGCGGCGAGTTCCCATAGAGTTGTGTGTAATTTCCAGCCGTAGCCAAGTGATTCGGACACGGCCTATCATAAGTATGTGTGTGTGTGGGGGGGGGGCCTCCGACCGAAATTTACTCCCCAAATTTCCCAAACAGCTGATGATATTCAAGCCCCCCCCCCGTTGCACCACGGGGGACTGGACTGGATGTGCGGCTATATCAGAGCTATAGTACAAGATTTAGTTGTAGATATATTGTATCTTTGTTTTGGGGGAAAACTGAAAACCTTTTGGCCCACCTTGGGCGCGCCACTGGACATGCCGACCTGCATAAAATGAGAGGGTCCGCGGTGTTTCGGACCGTCAAGCAAAGTGATCTAATGTGTCAGGATAGGTCAAACGGTTTATGTCATTGTTCTGATAGAAGAAGCCAGAGGAAGAAATGCACGTATTACATGTGCAGCTGGTACAATGTGTACTTAATTTCAAGTGCTTACACCAATTTGCATTTGGCCAGCGAAACGTACTCGAACAGAACGTGTTCTTTGCTCGGCTTGCGTATAAACCCTAATGTTCAGAACTCAGTGTCCAGACGTCTTTTTGTTCAAGTCTGAGGAGTGTAATGCTATACTTCTGGTAAACTGTTTATGGTTTCAGGAACCAAGTACTACACGAAAGAGCTGCATGTTCCGTTTTTCCTCCCCAGCGTAAGTTCTTTACAACTTTTAATTGAGTCACAAGTCAAGTCACGAGTAAGGTTAAAGTGACAAAGGAATACTTCAGTCGTGAAAGTGTACTTGAATAGCTTGCATGTGTCTAGACATGACCCTTTGATGTTACTTCCTATCGACAGGTGAGGGCGTACCTAAGGTCCAAAGGTACCAAATACTTGACTTTGAACTCAACTTTACCGTTGTCTTTCAGAGCAAAACGAGGCCACACATGCAAACTGAAGGCGCTTTCGTGTCGTAATGATATTAATTCCTTCATATTGCCTCAGAAGAGTCCATTCAGAGGTCCGAATTTAGCCAATGTGTACATTGTACAATGCAGCCTCTCTTTTTCACCACAATTTAGCTCGCCTCGAAACGCAACTGATTTTTAGTGGCAGTCAAACTGTGTCAAAACATTTCAGCGAGTATAACCAGACATTTTTAACAATTTTAATTCAAATAAGTTGATTTTTCCCCCTTATTTGCTGATGCAGGGTCACTTCACAGCCAAGGCCAAGCTAGTCGACCAACAGGATCGATCTGTTATCTGTACCTCTGCTGAACTGCAGATATGAAAGGAAACAAAAGGATCCGGCATATATTTCCTCAGTGAAATTTGAATAGCCTATGCGGACGTCAATGGTTTATTACCTTTTTGAAATTTTGGACAGATCAATGTAAAAAAAGAACCATGTATCAAGTTTGCTGTCTTTCTGTTTTTAGCCAATCTGTCCATATATTTGTGTCAAAAATTACGCATAGTATTCGGAATTACAATTGCGTCACTGGCTGACGACGTAGTTCTTTTGACAAGTGTTTTGACTGGAACTTGCCAGGTTACAATTACAAAAGAAAACGCTGACAGGAGTTGTGTTAACTGTGGTACAAAGTGTAAACGTGGTACACATCATTATATTTAGAGGTGTTTTCGAGAATGAAGAAATGAAGTGACAGACTACGATGTTTGTTACACAGCTTTGTTGAAAGTTGTTTGGGAACAAGGATGAATCTCTGCTCGAAATACTCGGGGTGTCCACAGGGAAAAATGCCGAGTACTGCATGGAAGCGGCGTCTCTCTGTCGCATGCAAGTTATGACAAGGATCCACGCAAAGGTTCGTCGGAGAGAGCTGTTTAGTAGACTTGTGCAATACTTGAAACAATCTTCAAAGAACTGCTTTCTGTGTCAGCATTCTTTTTGAAAAGCGAGAGCAACATTGCTAATTGTATTTTGACGCCGCTCTCAATAGTTTGACGAACTCTAGCGCGAGGCTGGGAATGTAGCAGTTTGTCTCTCGCATTCGTACCCAATAACCTTGTGATACGGTCCCCTTGATATCAAGCTATGCCACCGTCAGCATCTGTTTTTAGCTTAACATCCTTACTGATGTGGAGTCTGGACTTTCGGTTCCACCATCAATCTTAAAGGATACGGGCTTATGGACATTCGTGCAGTATTACCATGTTACCGAAGTTCAGTATTCAGTGACCATTTCGTAGTTGCTTTTTTATATACTAAATGTGCGTATTTAGGCCCTGTAATGTCGTCTTTCCCAAGTTTCATTTTCAGCTGTAGACAAAATACATTACCTGTATTTCTTTGTTTTCTAGATTTGTAGTTTTTCAACTTTTCTTAAGGTCAAAGGGATAAAAGTCGATGAGGGAAGGAATCGCCAGGAATTGCCACCAAGAAATAAAGCCTCAAGATAGTGTCATGGTATTATAATAATGGGGATTCCTGTGCACACTTACTAACCCGTGGACTCAGCGCATTAACTGCGGATAGCGCTATGTGAACTTCTATTATCAACGCGTGTCCGTTGATTATGCGCGACTAATTTTAACTGAATGTGCACAGATGTGTAACGTCTTTGCACGAAAGAAACGTCTGTCGTCAAAGTGGTCTCTGATGCTGTGCTGTTTTAAACTCTAGGAAGACTTTTTGCACCCACATTTTCGACGTTAAGAGGTATGGCCTCCCTCTCATGGCTGGTCCTATAATATGGGAGGGCTTAAATGGATCGGTCTGTTAATGGCTAAGGTTTAGTGGTCTCACAACTGCGTACCCATTTAAAAGTAGTTCCACCGTGTTTGGCACGTAGTCCACAGAACGGTAACCTGTAATGTATTTTCATAGCTCATTCTAAAAATTGAGCTTTTCTTTATGAGGAGCATGTGACGATTGATGTGACGATCGTAAGCTTTTTTAAACTGGTGATAAATGATGAACATTTCTAAATAAAATTGGTATATTTTGAATCTGTGCCTTTTACTGGTGGGTCCAGTGTACCCGTGCGTTCTTGTAAGTACTTCTTCGTAGCATTATACTATGAATTTGTGATGGGAAAATCATTTCAGGGCCTTAAATCCCAGAGGGCTTGGAGGCATGTCCCAACGTCTTGACCCGGGGGCTGAGCTGTTGCATTATTCCCAGAAAATTAAGGCGGATTTTAATCTTTCCGACTCTGCAACCTGAATGTGTTCAACAGCGCTGAAGCAGAGAGAAAATTTGTAAAGAAAAAGAAAAACCTCGAAATACTCCGTTTGGATGTACGGTTGTATGCCATATAGTGATCCCTAGTGGATTATGGTGTAAGAACCCCCCCCCTCGCTTTTCAAATTACCATGATCGAGTGGCTTACGGCATCCTTCATTCGCCCGAAGACCCCAGCACAAAAAAGGTCAATATGTTTTGGAACATCGAATATTTAAGATGTACTCGTTTCTTCAGTTCCTATTCTTTTATGACCCAGGTTGATCTCTACGGGATAAAATTAACAGGGGGGGGGTTCAGTGTTGTCTTTGTTATTCCCTTCGTATGATTGGCATTTGTAGAGATTCATCGATAAAGCTATACTAAAGCGCATGATAAGTTTTGACGCCTCCAGACTGGGAGCAGACATTTCGAATTCATGCGCGTGTTTTTAGATAAGATATATTCCGAATCGAAGTGAATTTGTCACGGTGCACGAGAACCAGCGCGCGAACTGTATGTGTAGGCCTATGTAATAACATGCGTGCGGACTTCATTCGTTAGCACCATAGACCTCTTCACTAATAATTTGGACGCATGCGCACAAAAGGCCCTGTCGGCAAGAGGTGTGAGCGGGCCGTTGAAAATGTACAGGGATGCGACTTTGATGGTCATTTTCTCTCAGGTTTTCTGGCTTTGTTCATTTTTTCTTCAGAAAATCCCATTACATCGTTTTTATGCTTTTAGTTTCAAATTTAAGTGGAATTTTTAGTGCTCTGTAAAAAGACTTCATGATTGTAATTCGTAATTTTTCCTGTGCGCGCGAGATCGCCGTTTGATGGCCCCCTTCCATCATAAGTAGTATAAATTACATCATTATTGTTCTTGGAGCCAACCTTAATGAGATTTTCTGAAGAAAACTGAACAAAGCCAGAAAACCTGAGAGAAAATGATAATCAAAGTTGCACCCACCCCCCACATTTTCAACGGCCTGTCACACTTCTCGCCGCCAACGCCATTTGTGCGCATGCGTGCATAATTATGAATTTATTAGTGAAGAGGTCTGTATGGCTCTTGTCGCAAGTGTGTGCGTTGTTTACACTTAGTAGCGTACATGTACAGTGTATAAACCACAATGCTCATTTAGTACTGAATGTGCGTTAAGGGTGCATTCAAGTAGATCGCTAGATTTCTACGTGCAAACTCATGAACATTCTGTGATCTCATGGTTTATTTATACAAGATATTCCATAGTCGAGAGCGATAACAGGGAGCTATAATACCGAATTTGGGACTTGCAGCTTCCAACTCGGGGTACATTACTTCAACTTCCAACTTGTTGGCCTGTTTTGCAAAGAAGCAAGCGGCTACATTCAACATTCAGATCTGAGCGCACACTTTGACTACTATTTCGGGGTCATTTTCGGCAAGGGCCAATAAAAGAACATTTTCGTGGCTAACCCTTATGAAATTGAAAAGAAATTGAACTTGTGGTCATTATCTTGAATTTCCAGTGAAAAATAACGCGAGGTCAACCTCCTCCTGAGAGTCACCGGGTGGCGCTATATCTGTCTGATTTTGAAATTTAAAGTGTGTGGACTTTTTTCTATGGGCGCGTATTTACTTATCCAATACTCAATTCGTCTCCGTCTCAGGTTTGTCTCCGAAACTAATCCCCGATTGTGGGCCTTAAGCGTTTTAAAATTAGATTAAGAAACTGTAATACTTACCTGTTTTGAATACTACTTGATGTTTCGTGGCACTATTAGACATACTATTGCGCTTACAACATCAAAGTCAGGAAGTGAAAAAACACTTTAAGCCTGAACGTAACCGAATCGAGTGATGGAAAACGGCCCAATTAGTGTAGCGCGACTTTTTCTGCTTTAGGCATTACTCTTGAGGGCGCACTTTATTATTGACGTGGAAGTACAAGTACAGTATACAAGTGAAGCTGCCTCCAGTGAAAACATCCAGTGACCCAGCATGTCGGTTGGTTAAGAATAACTAGCTGTAGGCTACTCAAATGTCAGGTGAGATTTTCAAAAGTATTACGTTGCTATGATTTGTCAAAAACCTGCGCATACTTGACCAGGACTAAAATTATCTTGAGTATTATTTATTTAGGCCTAGGCCCCTGTGATGGTCGACAGTATACACGATCATCATCACGCGTGACGATAAGCAAGATTGCGCCAGTTGGATGTGATGAAATTTTGACCCAAAAAACTTTTCTCCAACAAAAAAAAAAGAGTAACGTAGTTTGAAGGTACACACATTATTGAGTCGCTATAAAATTTCCAAATTCTCCGGATGAATGACAACTGAGCACATTGTGCACCTTTTTCAAAAGGTTTTATTTTATAGGCCTATTTGTTCAGCAGTCCATGGAGGAAGGACTTCCTCCATGAGCAGTCCAAGGTTACTTTTCCAGGAATTATGCAGCAAATGATTGAGCAGCTCAGAATTCAATGTGTCATTGCCCCAAAGGTCTTGGCAACCATGGGCAAGAAAGATGCTCAGAGATGTACACTTCCTGTAGATCAGTATCGCAAGAACATTGGGAAGCAGGACTATAAGCGCAGCAAGAAAGATCTGATCCGGTCCAAACGAGAGGCAGATCGGAGGAAGACTAGCACTGGCTTTCGGGTAAGGGTGGAGGTAGCCAGTTGTTGAAGGGTCCCCATATTAGGCTGTAATGATTATTTTCTTAGACTTTTTCTGCATCTTTAAACTCTTCTACAATGTATCAACACTACTTGTCAGCCTTTGTGGGTTTAGAGGTTTGAAAAGTGCACTTTTGAATGGGTGGAAATCTGAACAGTATGCACTTGTATGTTTATGGAGTGATGTCGGATTGAGTGATATAAATTAATTCTGGAAGCATTGACTACATGCAGCATGATTGTGGCTTTTTTTGTATAGTTTTCAAAAATAAAGTTCTTCACTGGATCGGAGCTGTGAAGACAGTTTCATTGTCTACTATGAATGCATTGCACATCTTAAAAAAAATTGAAAAATACCCAGGATTATATGTGATTTTCATTCTGAAGTTATACATTGATTGACCGTAATCTGTCATTCTTAGCCTCAGCTTTCATGTTTGCATAACATTTACTTTCTTATTTTCAAAATGTTTTAGAACCAGTTCTTGGCGCCCTTTCTGACAAACTCAGGAAACTGTGTGAAGTTAAATTTATTTGCAACTTATAAAATATTCATTTCACCACAGGTACGTTCTTACACACCAGGGACTCACAACAGAAAAATAAATTTGGGACTGCAAAATGACTTTTTGTTGCACACGAATCAATGCAAGATTTTGGATTTGCCTTTTTTTTAAATCTGGGATGACATCACAGGTTAGCTCATGAATATGGAATGTGCATTACCATAAAAACCAACAAGAAATGAAATACTTTTGAAAACATGGAACAAAAATTGAATATAAGGTTAATTGAAACTCAGAGTTGCATTTTCAAGGGCTTTTGTTCAATAATTGCATTGCATGGACTCTAGATTTCAGCCTGACATTGTGCCCCAGTGGAAACAAATGAAACAAATCAGTTTAGACTTACAACAGAACAGACACAAATGAGTGACTCGTGTGATTTTAGCATGACATGATGTCAGTTATAAGATTATATTCATACATGTGTAGTGTTATTCTAAGCTTGTGCAAAGATGTCGGTGCCTGAAGTTTGAGCCGAATGATAATTTCTCCTAAAATGTAATCATAGTTTCAGTTGTCTATGGGATATTTGAGCAGGCATTCCCCATTCCATTTCAGTGCACCACTTTGCCTGTAAAAGCTTATGGAAAAAAATGTTGCGGCAATAACTGAGTATTCTTTGTGTAATTGAATGACTACGCAACCTGTGACAGAGTACTACCAGTGAACACTGCTAACATTCTTGAGCACTGATACCATGTCATGGAGGAACTCTGTATTGAGCAAAGCGAACAAAGTGGGCCATTATTCGGTGTGATTGCTAAACAGTTTGTTTTGTTTGTTCTAGGCCAACGCAATTTCATTTATTCATTGCTCTTGTAGGTGACTTTTCTTTCTGAAATATTTCGTGTCACTGGAGAGAACTTTGGGTCAACAAACATTTCAGTAGCAGATTTTTTCAACACACACGGAAGTGCAATTTGTAATCATTAATGTATTTCTTCATAATTTATAAACAACTACCATTTGAACTAAAACAAAAACACAAAAAATATTTAGATCAGAGCTCCACTTTTATTCAAGAGCGTGCTCTTGTTTCTTTTTCAATGAGCTGCATTTAATCATTTGTCAGACAAATTCTCTTTAATGAATTAAATTTAAATGAATTTAATGAATTGTCAGACGATGACAGTTGTCATTCAACTATTCGATCATTTGAATATTTGGCCGAGCCTTTATTTCACTAAATATATGTACCTGTTTTTCTTTACACACTGCAGGATTCCATGCTGGTCATGCTCGCCCTGTGTGCTGTAGTGTGCCTCATCTACATGTTCTTCTACTTACAAATGCCTCCAAAGACATGACAGGTGGAGCAACTACTATCACGTTGTGCCTCATTGCAGAACTAGTAGGATTCATTGTCTCAGAGCTTTTCTAACTCTTGAGTCCAGATGCTTTGTCTGAAATGATTGATGAATTAAAGGGATTTTCAGTGGGTTTTTCAATGCTGGAACTGTAGTCTCATTCAAAAGGACAGTTTATACTTTACTTGAAACCAACTGGAAAGCTCGCAGCACAAATATTTGATGTGATGTCACAGTTTTGCCTCTGTGTTTGTTTTTGCAATAAGTGTGAACTGGCCTCAAGCAATGAAATGACTCACGTTGAGACTTTAATGGTTGTGTGAGAATGTGTAACTCTAGAAGCATTGGAGGAGAGCAGACAGAACTGTGAACTTTTTATTCATCCAATTGACAGGCATAGGAAAAAATATTTGTTGGGTCCAATCTAAGTCTCCACTACAAGCAGAAAAGAATCAGACATTTAATGAAATATCTACAGGTTATCCAGTCTTAAGTCATTGGGATGATTTGTGACAATGCTATTGTCTATCGTCTTTTCCTTAGGGTTCCTGCAGCCTGGAAAAGTCATGGAATAGTCATGCAAATTTTTTTTTTCGTTTTCCAGGCCTGGAAAAGTCATGGAAATTGGTAAAGATGACTAAAATTATGGAAACATCATGGAATTTTTCAAACACTGTGTGTGATTTCTGTTATAAAGTGCAAAAATGCGTGATTTTATTTGCAACTTTAAAAGTCCAGAGTCCAGGAAATTGCAGTATTGGGTCATGGATTTTCATAATTTTGTCATGGAAAAATCATGGAATTTAATTGTCCTTTAGGTGCAGGAACCCTGTTTCCTTGTGACTAGACTGGAGCTTCAAATTGTCATCGGCTCGTATACAGGTTTACTCAATAAATTCTGCAAGGAATAGTTAAGCTTCTTTCATGGTCGTCATCCAGATTCAGAAAGGTGTCCAGTACAAGAGCAGTCATTGGAGGAATTCAATCAGTGTCATCAAGAGAAAGCGAAAGAAGATTCTTATGTCGTGCTTTACAAGAACCATGTAACTCTACACAGGGCTAAGATGGACTTGGTAATTGAACTGCATTCAGTCAATATGACTACATGCACCACTTTTGGAGCATGTATTTTGACCTCTGACATTTAACCTTTATGATTTGCAGGAAGTAGGGTACTTGTAGCAGAGTATCCTGTGCAAATAAAGGGCCCTAGGTTATTGAGGGTGTTGATATATATCTTTTGGAAATGAAACATTTTTGTCTTCCATATTCAACGAAGATGCATTTTTATCTTGTACTTAAAATCATAAGTTAATAGTATAAAATTTATACAAATTCATAGATTGTGTATCTTTGTAACTTTCAAGAGGTTGAATGTCTGAGAAAATTCCTTTTTGTATGAGGCATTTTTGCCTATTTTCTCTTTAAAACAGAGATGTATAAAAAAATATTTAAGAAGGTGAATTTTTCATTTTCTGTTTGTAAACTAATTATAAAATGGATGATGGAAGTAGTCTGTGTCATTTAAGTAAATTCCACTGATGTTCTTCAAATTTTCTGTATTTTCTCTATTTCTAGGTAATTGATGAAATAAACGCATCATTAAAAATCTGGGTGAAATGGCAATGTGTTACATGTGGGTGAGTCACAGGAGTTGAGTCCCAGTCTGATTCCTGAGTCACTTGCCTCAAGGTTTTCCGAGTTGTTTTTTTTTAAGTTTGTATGAGATATAAAAATAAGGAAACTTAAAAGATATATCTCTTGAAAATTAACTTGGAAAAAAATATCTCATGAAAACTAACTTCCATGAAACGTTAGTACGTAACAACGTGCAAAAGGTCTCACAAAACGCGTTTTGTAATGGAATTTGCAGAAAACTCGCGTTGATCCCTACCCTGTACTAATTAAGTGAAGATCAACGGGCTTAAACGAAAGGGAAACATTGCAAATGTAATAAAACCCACTGTGGGCGAAAACCTGTGACCAATCAGGAAGCGATAAAAAGTTCTATGGACCTGTAACTTGCTCACTGGAATGACTCTATGGTGTTATCAGCTCGCGCCTCTGCGTTGCTGTAAGACCTTTAGTCACTATGAACATGTTGCGGGGGGGCAGTTGCTCCTCTTCTGACGATTCCATATGAATTTATGTCACTCAGGTCAGACAATTAATTGACATACCAACTAATTCTCTCTTGATGTACGTTTTCTTTATTAATGTTTAATATCTTGATCTAGCTATTTCGCTTATTTCAACTGTTTTTTAAACATCTCCACCTATTTCCACTGTCTATAAAACCCTTCAGGCCGACTGCATAAGGTTTCCAAAATGTATTTACAATGCATTGTACAAAGCAATAATTTGGGGTACGGCCTTATATCTTTTATCCAAATGTGATGTACAAAATTGACACTAGTTGTACACATTTGCCACGGTACTTCCTTTCGCGGTCAAATTGTGACTTTCGGTGTGTTTTGAAATAATACATTTGATTTTGCAACTTTACACAATCACGTATTACTTCGACTTTTGATACATTTCAACCCTGTCAAATAATGTAGACATGCAGCCTCATGTTTATACATTTGTACATGTATATATAAAAGTACACCCTAACAATTTCCAATACAAAGCGTTTGTTACAGAATTCATGGTGGCAGCTGGTCTCATTACAATCAGCATTCACAGATGTGATCGTGGAACTCATCAATTTCCAATACAATTGACGCCCAACCTTTTTCAGAAAGTAAACAATCACGAAAGTAAGACTGCTGCCAGATACAACAATGGAATAATTTCTTTTCAAATACCAAGAGTACCCATTGCGATCACGTTTCTCTTAAGATTTCAGGTCTGAAGGTGTAAGCGCTGACCGCTAAACCCATCTTGAATATCAAGCCTTAAAAGATGAGGGATTTCTCACTAAAATTTTGACATTATTAATGAATTACATTTCGTATGATAGAGTACTTTGCAGGGTGTTTTATGAACGAGGGAAATTATACAAAAATTTCACCCAACCCACAATGTGCTAAACTAGCGTGCCATCGTATGTGACATCTGGTGTATGCGGGGGCAGGTTGGTCTCCCGTCTGATGGGAGTACTGCCCCAGTCACTGTACTCGTTTTCCTCATCACCATCCGTGTCTGTGTCCTCACAGTCGGGGACTGGGGCCAGCGGGTACAGCTCGATGAACATGTCCTTGTTGCGGGACGACTCCTTGGCCTCCCTGGCCAGCTCGGGCCGGTCTAGGTTTGCCGCGGTGCGAGGGGATCGCACTGCATCACCACTGATAATGGCCGGGTGGCGGGACAGGAATCGGTTGCACGCCTTATACACGTGATAGAGTATCAAACTGCCAATCAGGAATCCCGTGACGAACACTGTGGCAATGATGACTGCCAGAACGGGTGTGGTTGGCCCTTTGGGGAAGAGAAACGCAACCAGTCAAAGCATATATGAGTTTACAAAGATAAGAATTATTTTGACTTTCAGAACTGTCGTCAATGAATGACGATATAAGGAGCTCGTGTTCTATGTCAGAAGTATGTTAAAATTCAGTCTAAACTGTTTAACATGTAGCCTAAGGATGTTACTCCTAAACCCTAATCAGGCGAGACTGCCACAAACCCGATCGTTTTCGTCGTGTAGGGGAAGTCCAAGGCGGACTGGAACCACTGCCGTTGCCGTCAGTACAGCGCACAGCCAACTCCTGGCTGTGCTCGCAGCCTTGGTCCGTCAGGCTCAGTTCCTCGTGTCGGCACAGACTCAGGTTTCTCTCCCAGCCCTTACACAGTAGCAGTGTGAACAGGGCTCGTGTGTAACTCGGCGCTGCCTGGAACTGATCCACAGGGAGCACGGCCCGAGGTGAAGTGAAATCCAACTGGCGACAGACGACGAGGGCGGCGTTCATGTCGTCCGACTCGTTGCCGGACTTGCACACCGTCCACCAGCGAAATTCGTGGTAGATCTCTACTCGGCCCTCTGAGATGTTGCTGCCACCTGCTAGACGTACTATAAACGAAATTTTTCACAAAAAGCAACGGTGCAGTTCTTTTGGCTACAAGAAACAGTAGGGACAACAGGCACCACAAGGAAAACCCCGTAAAAGGTGCTTGGAAAAGAAAAGCTGGCTTATGGAATCCAGCGAAACGAAGGGAGAAAAAAAATACAAGTTCATGCGTTTGAGTATATCGTTACATTCGCAAGTTAGAAACTACGTACCGTTTGCATCCGTATAGAAACAGGGGTTACAGGTTTTAATAATTTTAATAGAGCGACTCCAATTAGTTTGGTAACGACTAACATCACAGTGAGAATGTTGTAGCTGACGTTGTCAAATTTATTTCATTTTCGATTTGGCCTTTTTAATTCTCGAATTTGCTGGCAACAATGTAGGACACCTATTTGATTCGATCCAAAGCATCCTCATCTATTACCGTGACGGATGACCTCTCTCTACATTTTACAAGCCTGTGTCACACTTTAATGCTTTCGTGCGGCTTACCTGGTTTCGGAAGCTTCAACTGATGGTGTACCGTGGGAGGAGAACACTTGACCCCGGCATCTTGGGCGTGGTTACAGTCATGCTCCCCCAAGACATGGTGAGCACACTCGAGGAGATTGCCTTCCGAACCCTTGCAATCAATCTCGTCAAGGAGTATGCCTGGTCACAAGATAAGAACCCTTCTGTCAACTAATCACGCTGAGGCTCTTGTTTCGGTAGTTAGTCGCTACATGTATAAACACTGGAGACGTTCTTAACTCATGCAAGTGGCTAATGAGATTGTGACTGCTTGGTTACCGCCCATCGTAGACTATGAGCCTCCAGCTACACCAAGAAAGGGTGTGATATTCTTAGCAACGGATGCTCCTTTGGTAGGAACTGAACTTTGGTGGTTCACGAACGACTATGAAAAAGCATCACTACCAACAGACTGAACACTCCCACCACATGTGGCGCTTTTCAAATGATGAGGGGGTGCTTCTGCTCGAGGCGGGTAGCAGTGACGCGAAGACCAAATTAATTGAAGTGCAAGTATCCTGTACCGGTACCTGTTATTTGCAGGTTCCAAATTCTCTGAGAGTGTTGCTCCTATTTGGCTATTCACCTTATCCTCCAAACTTGTATCAACCCCCTTTTGCAACTGACCGAGCATATGGATTCGGCTTCAACCATAACATAAAACGAGCTAACTAAAAATCAGCTAACTATAAAACGATTAAGATTCTGGAATCCACTGTCTGAGAAATGAACTGAACGTGCAAACAGAACTTGCTTGACTTGTAACGATTCCCAAGGCTTGTTGGGTTTTACGAGAATGCACAACCTACCGGTGCCTTCCCGTCCTTTGCCAAAGTAGGCACCGAAAACGGCCGATTCGGCCGCGGGCAGCCCGAGCTGTCGGCAGGCGACACCGGCCGCCTTGATGTCCCATTTATCATCGCAGATGGTCCACCAACGTTGGTCGTGATACACCTCCACCCGACCCTCCAGCACTGTGTTACCGCCAATCAAGCGGATGTCTTCACCTGAATGTGGGGATGAACCGAAATATTCCTATAAATGTGGTGTTTGTCTGCTTACACGCTATATCCTGTCTTGGTTTGGTAGATAACAGTGGTAAAAGCCTCTGCTATCGAGCACTGGTTAAACAAAGCAATTACCTTGGATCATGAGCAAGTCCGTCGCACACCTAACACCCGCTGCTACCCGACGCGTACACCTCTCTCTGCCAACCCCGCTGTGCAAACACTCTGCGATGTTATCCTCTGTGCCGTCACATTGCAAGTCATCCAAGAGAAATCCCACTCCCTCGCTGCTGCCCCTGACTCTGTAGGACGGCTGCAGGTCGGCACTGTCCACCCCAGGAAACCCAAGCTGATGGCAAAGCACTGTGGCGTCATGCTGGTCCCAACCATCCTTGCAGACGAACCACCAGCGTCCGCCGTGGTTCAGCTCTACCCGCCCCTCGTACGGACGCCTGGGGTCGCTGGCACCCAACCGGGCTTCGAAGACTTCAGGTTGTTAGATAGTTGGAATAATAGTGTAATTTAAATAGTCTCTGCGTGATTCATTTCACTTCTCCTTTAAATTTAGTACCATTCAAAACAGAATATTTACTGCCAAACTATGTTTAAGTACTTTGATGTGCACAGTAATGTGTGTGGGATACAGCAGTTTGCTAATTGATGATGTGTTGTGCTTGGTAAGAACATGATGTTACCGGTCTAAATGAAACACAGCGTTGGTTTCCAACCAAATTACGCCGAGCGGAGAACTTGATTTGGATGAGGTGAGCCAGATCTCTTGACGTCTACGATTTGCTTTCGCTTTGGACTGTGCATGTTTTAGCTAAGTTGACTTTCCTGAACCTACTTACTTTGTTTGGTCCTCTTCCCATCACACCAGGCGGCAGCGTCTTGGTCCCCGCTGCAATACTGCCGACCAAACCCGGCATGCCTGCAGTCCACCACGCTAGTCTCGTTCCCAGTGCACTGCAAGTCACTCATTAGATACTCCAAATCGCAGTCAACGTTCTTGACCAAGTCGCCGAAGCTCTCGTCCGCGGGGTTTTCGCAAATGACGTCATTAGAGAGACTGTCACTCAGTTTATAAACCGCGAGATCTGACGAGTATCCCAACTGGTGGCAGACGACATTAGCGTCACGTATGTCCCAGTCATCACCACAAATCTTCCACCACATACCTTCAAAGTACACTTCCACTCGGCCTTCGGACTCGCCAGTACCCCCACTCAATCGTAGTCTCTCACCTATTAGTTTTGAAAGTCAGAGCTGAACGTTTGTAGAGGATGTTTATTTAGCCATTAAAAGAGCGCGCAGAGAGTGACCAGTTTTTACTTAAGTTACTGGAAATAACTTTTACTGTCCGCAGTGATATTGCCAATGAAGGGAGATTGAAGCGAGTAACCTATGGGCAATGCTACCAGCTGGACTCGAGAACTAATATGTCTCATAGGTATACGTGAGGGAAGAAACCTGTTTGCATTCAAATGCCGCGTTCAAGGTTATTGTCTCCACTTTTTTGGAAGGGTTGGGTATGTCTCCTACTTCCTCTGGGATCGCTGACCGTTGATTGATTTATATATTGTTCATTATATATATCTACAGTGTTTCTCAAAAGCAAAGTAATACTAACCTGCTGGAATGGATGGTTTATCACTGCAAACAACGTGCGCGACCACGCCCCGGGCACAGCCGACCATTTGCCCGTCCCTATAATGGCACTGTAGTAGGTGGTCTTCGTGGCCCGTGCAACGGAACCCAGACAGTCCTCGCACGTGAGGAAAACTCCTTTTGAACTTTGCGCGGTTGTTTTCTGTCCGTAGTTGCCGCTGCTCCTTAGAAAAATCCTCGGGCACGATGGTGGCGCTCTTGGCAAACTGGTAGCCAAGCTGCTTGCAGACCACGCGCGCGTCGGCAATGCCCCAGTCGTCTCCACACACGGGCAGCCAGTGATCATTTTGAAGAATCTGAACTTTGCCTTCTCTGTCATTGTTTCCACCTTCGAGTCTGACCGAATATGGGAGGTTTTCTAGGAAAAAAGGCCACAGCTTCAACTTCTTACACAAAAAACTCACATTTGAAAACACAGCTTTGTGTTTTTAAAAAGTTGCTAGCCCAATGTCTTTTCCATGAATTTATTCTCTATGCTATAGATTTAATCCACGGTAAAACAATGAAGATAAGTAAATACTGATTGCCAGAAAAAAATCCCTTTGAGCTTCCAAACAATGAGGTAAATGTTGACCTACCTAATGGGCGTGATGCGCATAGTACCCGTGCTTCATGCTCGACTCCGCCACAGTCCAACCCACCCACCAAACCGAGGCGACACTGCGCTATCTTGGACTCGTTCCCCAGACATTCCACGGACTCGAAGCTCCTCCTGCTCCGGGCTCCGTTCAACACGCCGATGATTTTGGCCCAGGGTGCCAGCGCTCCCGGAAAGCCCAGCTCTTGACACACGACCTGAGCCTCCCTGATATCCCACGTACCGGCCACGTCACAAACAGTATGCCATAGACCATTCAGGAACACCTCTAACCGGCCGGAGTTGGGTGTGGCTCCACCGGACAATCGAATTGAGTAGTCTGTTTCCAGTGAATTAGAATATTTTGAAACACCTCGGATAAACAGTATTACACATTTTCAAAGCATCAACCCTATATTCTTACATTAATTTGATATCAAAACTTTTTGAAAAAAATGACGTGGAAATGAATAACAATATGGCCAGCACAGGTACCGCCGGCGTCCAATCTATGGTAACATTTCCTATTTCACAGATATGCGATAAGTGATTGTTCTTGATTGGTAATAATTGGACACTTTCCATTATCGTGGGTGTAAAATTCTTTTATGATTAATACAAAGATGTATTTGTAAACCCTACACATTAATAATGGAAATTTTGTAAAGTATATGCTCATTGATTAATTGATCATTACGAGTATTAGCTACACACCCTGTGACACCTGACGACTGTCGCACCTGACACCGGCATCCTGTCTGTGCTGGCAATCATGCTGGTACCACTTCTTCGCCTGGCAGTCCATAAGCTCCTCCTCATCGCCCACACAATCGACCTCATCCAGGACGATTGGCCCGGATCCCGGACCGAAGTGAGCTCGGATCAAGGCTGCTGTGGCGTGGTTGAAGCCCAGCTGTCGGCAGACTACCTCGGCGTCCGTCATATCCCAACGGTCACCACAGACGGTCGCCCACGCTCCGTCCAGGTAGACTTCCACGCGGCCCTCCATAGGATACACTCCATCGGCAAGTCTCACGGAATTTGCTGAAACATGGGCAAAATGCATAAAACAAAATCTCACTTGAGAGTCTGATAGAGCAAAACTAAAATAGTTCGCCTGAAATCAAAATGGACTAGCTGAAACTGAAAGATGAAAAATAGTCCCTGCTCCATATGACAATTGAGACGACAAACGGCATCCATCCACATAACAACGTGTTACGGTATACGATACATAATAGTATGACATAATATTTTGGCCAATATTTAGGACAATTCTACAGGAATTCATTGGATTACAAGGCATTCCAGCTTACAGCAATATTATCAAATATAAGAGACGGTTACCAGCAAAAGCCATCTGAATTGCTACAATTCTGCCTGTTTTCACCCAGAAACGATACAAACCAACCGTGCAAAGTACCTGGCTCGATTGAGCGAGGCGGCGTGTTTCCGTTGCAATCCACTGCAGCCATCGAGGTCTGACAAGTCTTAGGACCCAAAACATCGTTTTGGCAAAGCGCTAGACTCGACTCGTTACCGTGACAACGCATCCTGTCTATCAACGCAGCGACGTTTTCCTCTTCACTGTCTCCAGACCATGTGGTTGACTTGAAAGTCAAAGGAGAAATGTTTGTCGGAGAGTGGTACCCAAGTTGTCGACAGACGACCGATGCGTCGTTCTGGTCCCATCCGTGGCCGCATACGCGCCACCATTGCCCGTCGTGGAAGAATTCAACAAAGCCAGAACTGCCACCAGAGAGTCGCACTATGGTACCTGTCCGTTTCCATGAGAGTAATTACGCAAAAGTGTTAGACTCTTACACATTTAATTTCAGTGGATTAATTATTCCGTTTTTGCAATTTCCTTTCAATTTTTTTTAAAGAGTACAAGTTGAACTTCAAACTTTTTGATATGGTTTATCAGGTCACCTTGTTTACAACTACCAGTGACAACCCGTGACATCCCGTTTCCGGAACTGTCTTTTTTCTTTGGTTGTTGACGGTCTCGACTGGTGAAAAAAGTTCTTTTTGCAGAGTCATATTTGATCTGAATGTTATGAATGCATAAGAACATATGTAATATAAAACTGCTGCAAACTGCTTGCCGACTACTGCAGTGACCTAAACTACAAATCACAAAAAATGGAGGGCGTGACGTTTCGATCCTAGCAGAATCTTTCTTAAAGGCCAGAAAAAAAATGCATACGAAAAAAAAAAAGAAACTGGCACCTGGCAGGTTGACTGTATGGTCCAGACTACACACCACACCAGCGTCTCTATCATGCAGACAACCGGTGGCTCCAATGCCACTCCTTGGGCATTCCAACAAGTGCCTCTCGTGTCCTGAGCAGCCGACATGCCCGAGGAGAACCTGGCCCGTGCCTTGGCCGAAATGGGCGCCCCTAGGGGCAGCGGCGGCGTAAGGATAGCCGAGTTGTCGGCAGACGACTGTCGCGTCTTTCAGGCCCCAACTTTGGTCGCATATTGTCCCCCAGGAATCACCGAGGTGGACCTCCACCCTGCCCTTGTTGGGCTGGTCAGTCCCGGTCAAGCGAATTTCATATGGCAATGGACCTGCAAAAATTGAATCTGAATAATGATCGTATCAATGCTCAAAGTTTTTACCCCAAAGATTTTTCAGAGGTGAGAAAAAATGTTTCTGAACCTCTGTAATTCTGGTACGGAATACGTGACTTAGCTTTCCTTATAACAAATTTAGGCTGGTGAGGACAGACTTTTTACATGCTTGTTATGAAATACAAATAGTAAAAAAAATTAAAAGCTGATTTTTTTTCGGATAGGTAGTCCAAAACTTTCCTTTCAGCAGAAGAAGGGTCGAGCACTTGTTAATACTTAAACCCTACATTTTTTTGTGCGGGTGGGCGTGTCTTGGCACTACACAATAAACCCATTTTCTTCTATCAGCCTTCGTCTTAACGACGAGAGTGATCAAATTAGATAAGTTGACCCTGGCTTTTCCCTTTCCTCTCTGTTGCAAAGCCCGGCTTGAGTGCGTAAATCCCCTGTCAACCTGCCGCAGAAAGTCACGTGGAAAAAAATTCCAATTACAAGGTAACGAGGCCGGAAAATCTTCAATCTATTTTGGCAATCCAGTCAGTGAAGAAGAAACACATTCAAGTATACATGTGCACCACGCGCCTCAGGCGCAATATACAGTGCGTGCCACGTCCGCCTCCAATTCCATATATGCAAACGTGTATACTTGTGTAATACGGACGCGATAGCATTGCAATGATTTATGCTTGAGCGCTCCGACGGGGAACATTATGTGTGGATATTATGGAAGTGTCAATAGTGGAGTGGAGGGGAGGGCACGAGCAATATCAAATTTTGTGGATTTTCAGTAGAAAAAAACCGGCAGAAGTTGGGAAATAGGAATAGTAATGCTTGGCAAAGTTAATGAGAAGGAAGAAGTCGATGGAAGGTGAGGAAAGTAAAGATGAGATTCAGACAGAATGATGGATTGTAAATGGTACAAATCATAACTTCGAGGATTGCTAGGATTGTCTTTGGGTTTCAGCGGTAAACAGTTTTCCATAAATGTCCGTTGAATTATGGGTATGGATCACAAAAACAAGGAGTTTCATGCACAAATTATGACGAAGTGATCCGGTTAGTTTGTTTCATTGGACATTTTTCATTTTAGTGACTAAACTAAAATGCATTCCTTGTTTGTCATCTATACGGCAGCCCTGTGGTACCATTCAGTAGACATTTTCAAACACTGACATTTTTTGGAAAACTCAATTTTTTTTCCAAATTTTGTTGTTATGAAATGTATCTTTTCCAAGGTTGTTTTAACGATACATTGTTGTTTCAAATTTGTTTTTACGAGATTTATGTTTTGGTTAGTTTTTAGAAACATTATCTTCGTTGTTGGGACGAACAAACATGAAAATGTATCTCTCGTAAAAACAAACTAGAAAAATATGCTTTTGTAAATGTATTCTTCATGGCACAGGTGGGCCTTCGTAGTCTTCTGTATTTATGATAAATGGGTACATCAACAAGGTATATTTATGCTTAATCCAACTCCAAAGCTCCAAAGATGATACTTTCCTGAATAATAAGAATCCTCGTAAAGAAACCAGCTACAATATGGTAACTCAGTTGTTTTGTTTGTTAACTTTATTTCTTAAAAAAAAAATTCATTTTTACCATTCCGGTCGCCAGCTGAACAGGAAACAGTCGCAGACTCCTGGCAATGGAAATTCCTTGTGGTGCCCACTTTGCACTTCGAAAGTTTGTCTTCAACTCCAGAGCACGACACGAAAGCGACTGATTTCTGTAAGATTGCGGCTCTGTCCAAGTGAATCCAAGTTTTGCCCCAGTCCGCAAGCGCTCCAGGATAACCCAGTTCCCGGCATGCCACACTGGCCTCGGTTACGCCCCATGATTCACGGCATATCAGGTTCCAGGTTCCGTTTTGAAAAATTTCAATGCGGCCGACGTTTGGCGTAATTCCTCCAATAAGACGAACTTGGTTTTCTGTGAATCGATGGACAGATGCTCATTTGCTATGGTAATGCATGTATGTATGATTCCGGTCTTTTGACTTAGAATTATAGGGAAAAATTGTTTTCAACTGTTACCAAACTAACTGATCCCCTTTCAGAATACGACGGTCTGGCTTTATCCCGTCGCCTGGGGATAGTTAGGCCAGTGATTGATTCTGTTAAAGACAGCGGAATCTCCCCTAAACAGCTGCAGCAAGACATTTCGGAGTGAAAGTAGTATAGTAACGTCAGAAATCTCAACAGCGACTAAAAGCACATAGGTTTTCCGGCCAATTTTGGAAAAAACGCGATTTAGTTTGTAAAATAAAGTTTCATTTTGAAAACGACTTAAAACCTGGTTTCATTTTCGCAGTAACAAGCATTCGACTTCGTTTTGTATCCTTCAAATAAATGAACGTGCATTATGTTTCATTAAAGAGGTTACAAATACGTGACTGGCATTTCGGATTGCTTAAATTCATGTGTTTGTTATCGAACTGTAAAAAAAATTAAGGTTTCTATGATTGAAACGCAGCACAAGAAGGAAGGTTCCCTCAGCGCTGGTGTTTATAGGTCTCCTACAATAGTCGGTAGATTCCAATGACAACTTGAATGGCTTATTTCAATCATGAATATTCGAACATTTAACTAAACACTTCTATTGTAAAATGTCTGTTAGTACACAAACAAATTCCAATCCTTGACCATGCATACCTTAAAAACACACAGGCGAAATTGCATGCATATTTGGGTAAATAGCTTGAGTTCAAATTAAACTGAATGCAGAATTGCAGAGGTGCATTCAATTTCGCACAAAAACGAATGTCAACATTCTAAACCAGCGCAATATCGAGAAATTGAACGCTGACTCTATACGACTGAATGCACCCTCCTTGAAATAGAATTTGTATTTGTTAAACAGAAACAGGGATTTGAATGTTCGTTCATTTCGCTCGAAAACGAATGCTACTATTACTAATTCATTTACACATTTTCCAAAATTGGCCAGGAAAACCTATGCAATGTATTAAAAAATCCAGGTATTCCAGATATGTTTTATGGTGTCAAACTCCATGCCCGTTACCAAAATCCTTGCTAGATAACTTTCCCTTCTTAATTATGATCAAAGCTCATAATTGATCGTGGTTTATAACCGTTGGTGATGGCTTTGCTGGTTTTAACCTAAATCATTCAAAACAAGAAGCCGACTTTTGGACTACTTTAACAAACACTCCATAATTATGAAAAACGTACCTTTGAACACAGAAACATTGACACAACGGACACCTGCCGTTTTAAATTTCCCACAAATCTCGGATGAAATTCGACGATGCGAGCACGCAGACAGTTCACTCTCAGTTCCCATGCAAGACAGAGTAATCATAGACTCGTCCCCAATACCCTTGGGCTCTCCGAAGTGGGCACCCCTCCAGGCCATAGTCGCGTATCCGTAGCCGAGTTGACGGCAGACAACATCGGCCTCAGAGAGTCCCCAGTCGGCGTCGCACAACAGTATCCATTGTTCCTCGGCGAAGATCATCACCCGTCCCTCGTTAGGTGTGAAGCCCCCAGAAAGACGCACTTGGAGCTTTCCCGTGGCTGTAGTCGTTTCTGTGCAGAATTATGGGTTGAGAGATATTATGGACAATCTACTCTGGCTATAACCGCTAAATTACTCGACAGAAATATTCTACACGCAGATGGGTTGATTAGCACGTTTGGGGCGCTGTATTAAGGGTTGAATGAGGCTTATCCACCTCTTGTAATTTTCTTCCAATACCAAGGTATCTCTATATAGTCGAGTATCTATACAGAGGGTATCCGATGCCCCCCAGGACTCTATCAAACCAACTTTGTTATCTTCGTTTTATGGTCCTAAAACACATTTGAGATGTTAACAATGGCCGCCAAAATAATCAAAATCAAAGACAATTTGTATACTTTATTAAAATTTCAACAAATTTTTAAAATAACGATTTAAATGACCGTCTAGTCATAGGTTTCTAATTTATAGTATTTTCCCATGTCTTTAAATCCAAGATGGCGGCCAAAATGGCTGCCAAAATAGGTAATATTGCAGAAACTTGTACACAAAAAACTACACATCGTTTCAGTAGTGCAGTAAATTTGTAAAATAATAAATATGATATAGTTGGTTGGTCATTTGGGAAAGACTTTCGAGTACGGATACCTTTAGTGACTTATTACCCATCAGAGAAGATCAAAAATAGCGGTGAAAATATCAAGAACCCAGAACTTTTACTGTCCCAAAGAGTTTTTGCACCTGTTAAGTGGCGTCGATATGGAAATCTTTCTGACAAATGTATCCAAAACTTATTTTTAGCCTCTATACAAATCTAAACTGGCGTCCAAAATGACTGCCCCGAGATAAACTTGGAATGTGTTTATTTAAACACAATTTTTGCCTTTTTCCCTTCTGCAAAAAATAATTTGTCACAAGCAAGATCCAAGGTTAAAACAGACAAGTAAGAAATAAATAGAATCTCTAGTACAAAATCACAAGTGACAATCTGAGCTGGTGAATAGTACTCTGAATCCAATTCACCCAACGCCCAAGTGTCAGAGATCTCGCAGAGCCAAGTTACCTTCCTCGATCTCATCATCTAATAAGGCGAACAGTTTAGAATAGAAGGAAAACTGGACACTCGAGTAAAAACGGATACATTTCAGTATCTTGCTCGAGATTCAGCCCACCATAAGTCAGTATTTGGCGGATGAATCAGGGGAGACGTAACGAAAAACAACCGTATATGCACACACTTGGCACATTTTGAGAAGAAGGTTGAATTATTCAGAAACAAACTTCATAAACGCGGATACAGCCGTGAAGATTTAGCCCTCCTGCCTGAAAGAGGCAAGACTCACGTGAATTCGAGCAAGAAAGAGACTCTGCTTGTCTTTGTTCTGCCCTACTATCTACGATTGCGACACTCAACGTTAAAAGGCCCTTCTAAAAAACCTAAACTGGGATTTGATCGACCGAAGTGAATGTCTCAATGCACTCTTCCCAACTAAACCCCTCATTGCATATAAACGGCACAGGGATATAAAGGATGACCTGGGTAAGGTGGAGGATCTCCACGATCCAACCAAAAACGAAAAAGAACTGGATGTGGAGAACATTCAAATCCTAATGGAACTCCTTGAGGAACAAAAATAAATTGCGTCATTTAGGCTTGGAATTCAACCCCAAAATAACTAAAATTGAAATCTGCCTACACCAATTCTACCATAAAAAGAAAAACCATCGGGATTTTTTTACCAAACCCCCCAAAATGGTGACTGATGAAATGCGGAAAAGAGGCACAGAAAATATGCTCTGTTCCCCCCAACACAGAGGAGAAAAGGAACAACAAACAAACAGCTAGGACGGTATGCGGTATCACTGGTATACATTAAATCATTAAGTGAATAAGTACAGAAACCGCAGATACATGTATAAATAAACAAGCCCTTGCGTCGTGGAACTCCGGATAGGATAAGCGCCTAATACAATTAGGTGGAACTCCGGATAGGGATTTTTAAAACTCCCGCTCTCTGGAAACACTAGCCTAATGGACCCGTGGGCGAGTTATAACCATAATAACTGTAATTCTTAAGCGCCTAATACAATTAGGTCCCCAAGCACTTTTCCTATTATTATTACCCCTGCTCACTGGGCCAATCAAACATTCCAAATACCATTTCAGCACCCTGGGGAGTATACAGCTTAATGCTGCCATTTCGGCGCAAAGCAGCTAAATCAACCACAATAACCATCTCTGCCCTCACATGGTACCCAATTATTCCTGGGTGGAGAGGGGCAATGAGTTTGTTTCTGCATTCAATCGGGGACCCTAAACAATAGAGGACAATAAGGTCCCCGATTGACAGAGGGTCCCCGATTGACAACCGTGTACAAAACATATGAGTGGTCTTCTAAAAAAGTTGAAGTACAAACAAAAGAGGAACAATAGGGGGTCCCCAGTTGCAGGCAAATACACACTTGTGTGCGTGTGTGCCCTTGGGAACACAATGGTGTGTGGGACTTGCGAAAGTGCCAAGGGCACACGCACCATGACCCCAGGCTGGATTCGAACCCGCAACCAACGGTTTTACCCACCAAATAGGAATCTGGTGCTCTTAACCACTCCACGGGGTTATGTTTTCATGCAAGGCCACTATCGTGGCCTTGCATGAAAACACTAAGGACCTTCTAGTTAAGTATTGTTTTTTAAATTAAGCAAAATTCACAAATACTTTCTAGGAAGCTCAACTATGCACAAACGCTGGTATCGCTACCAATGTATTAAAACTGACATCAACCTAAAATTCTGTCCATGCTGGTGGCAAAATACTACTTGAATACATCAGCAAACAGACCGGTTGTCCATGAAGCTGCATAAAATCAAACGGCAAGAAAGAAGTGGGGAGTGTCCCTGTTGATGCTGATAGCAAATCTCACCCACTTCCTTCTGTAGAAATCTAATTCACCGCAGCATTCGTCTTGGAATAATCCTATAAAAAATGTTGGTAAAAGTATAATATCGACTGATTGTTCCTTGAACCCTACTTGCACAGGCCAGTTTACCTGATTTTCTTAGCCAGAGAAACACATCCTTTAATTTAAACAAAAATCTTGAAAAACGAAATTCATGGTCGCGGCCGAACTCCGGAACTCTGCCCTACCAAACTTAAGACGTAGAGGCAACATGTGTGATTACGCCTCCTCCCAACGTACACATGTATTAACATTAATGACCATTTGGATTTTAAGACTACCAAAACTCTCAAAATACTGAGCATTGGTTTTAAAATGACCAGTTAAGCAGGCCATTACATCATAAAGACAACCATGCTACAAATGTGTTTTAGGACCATAAAAAGAAGTTTAAAAAGTTGGTTTGGTAGAGTCCTGGGGAGTTAGCGGATACCCTCCGTAGAAACTCGACTACTATAGCCACCCTCCTAAACAAAAACGGGCGCAGTGATTCTGAATGCGTGAGAGGATGATATTGGACATGTAGGGAAGTGGAGAGTTCATGATAATTTTCTCTAAAAGTTTCCTTTTTTTCTTTTTCCTCGATTCCTTCAGAAAACCCCCTTTCATCGCCATAGCCATTACTCTTTGATTTAAGTGGGGTATTATGATGTACCAAAAAAAAGAATACAGAAAAGTATCTTTCATCTCGCACTCACGAGATCGAAATTGCCAGGGTACCTCTCTACACAAGTGCGAAATAACCAAGTTTGTAATTCAGGGTACCAGGCGCACGTTAAGCGTATTGGTGTGTGCGATATGATTAACGTTTTAGGCATGTGCGAATGGCCAGTTTCAATTCGGCTCGCGATTTAGCCCATGATCATTTGCTTAGATCAGTCTAGTCCGCGTGATTTAGCCAATAGGAGGGCAGAATGCGGTACTTGTCACAACGTTTGTTTTTAAGCTCAAGCAGTGCGTTCAACACAACAGCAATTTTTAAAGTCTGTACTTGGTACAACCAAACCCCACTTCAAATGAAAGCTATGACGATTTTGGAAAGGTTTACGAAGAAAAAGTGACAGATCCCGGAAAATTTGAGAGAAATGAGATTGAAGATTGTAACCCTAGACATTTTTGAATCTGCCACTCTTACATTTTGCTGCCAGGTCCATTTATGCGGACGCGTGCATAGTTACAAAATAAAGGGTAATTCGCCAAAGCCACATAAGAAAAGAAGGGACACGCGCACTTGTTGATCAGCGCCTTGCAACTGAAAATGTTTGGGGTTTGGCAAAATAAATTCTGGTGGATAGTCGGTGTTAGCTCGCCTTGGTATTGGAAGTGCCACAACTCCCAATGTCTCGGGGAGCCAACATTGACTATCCACTCCGTCAAATCATGTGATAAGCCTAATATTGATGAAATTCGTCTGCATTGTCAAACATTACTACGGCAACGTTACTTTCTTTAGGGAGAACCTCTAACGCTCTTGATAAAGCGAAGAACCTCTGAAAAGTACTCGAATGACATCTTGATAAGCCAGGCATTTTGGAGGAGCGAGGACTGACAAGGTCAGAGACGCTGGAGGTGAAACCCAACCCAATCTGTTCCGTTTCGCGTCGTATTGCCGCGTCACAAAGTGCAACGGAAATCGATAGTAGCCATGCAGCACCCGTCAGCAGTCCATTGGCGTTAGGCCTGGAGCTGGGCTGAAGGCGCTATACGCACTACGATTTCACATGTTATGAGGAATGTCTGCCAAGAGAAAGCGGAAGACGGACACTGTTTTTACAGCTTTCAGGATAACATGCAAGGACAAAACGCTGTATACTAATCTATGAGCCGCTCTTGTTTCATGTTATCCGTGTGTACTTAACTTGAAAAATAAACAAACAAAAATAGAAAATAAAATGACTTTTACGTGTATGTCGAGACTCGTTTGTTGGACCCTCCTGTCACTGATTTGCTTAACAGAACCAGTCTATGTCTCCTTATCGCCCGCGTGCGTCTCCAAGCGTATTTTAAATTTTTATTAGTTTTGATTTAATTTTATTCGTCTTTTTTTAGCGATTTACAATTTTGGGATGATGACCAGTCATTGTTTCATTTTTACCATCAGTCACCGCCT